CTGCTTCTGAATTTTTCATGTGCCTTTTTATGCAACATATTTTCTCCGGGAAAGCCCAGCCCTGTCAGCGTTACTTAAATCATATAAATTGTAAAGATAAACGGAAAAAAATACACACAGAGGGCAAAGGGAGGGAATTAATTTGGACTAATTTCACTCTCGTTTGTTTTCCTGAAGTTTTGGCAAAAGGACAACGCGTCAGCATAGCACAGGGTTGCCATTTGGTGTTTTTCATGACCATATTTTGGTTCAATACGGTAACGAATAGGTTATCTGGTAAAGAATAACTTGTATCGAACTTGCTAATAAAAAGATTGAAATTTGATACTAAGCTGAAAATACCCTATTTCGTATGCATCTAAATATAATAAAAAATTGACTTTTGGCGTGTTAGTGTCCCATATAGTGAAGTGCACTCTATCTAGGCTTACAGGAATCATACTTGTCTATTATCAAGAACGTCCAGCCCGCTCTGCCTCCCGTGACTTTGTAGACAGAAATATCTCTTTTATTTCTGCGATAAAAACAAAACGTCAGACATCACATACTTGAATCAATATTGACTTTACAGACCACACTACTGAAGACTGGAAAGTGCTGCAAAGATCTAGAAATATGTGAAGGAATGATAACAAAACTTACATCTACCAACAACACAGACCTAGAAATATGTGAACGAATGCTACCATGACCTAGAAATATGTGAACGAATGCTAACAAAACACATCTACCAACAACACAGACGTAGAAATATGTGAACGAATAATAAAACATATTTACCAACAACACAGACCTAGAAATATGTGAACGAATGCTAGCAAAACATATCTACCAACAACACAGACCTAGAAATATGTGAACGAATGCTAGCAAAACTTACATCTACCAACAACACAGACCTAGAAATATGTGAACGAATGATAATAAAATATATCTACCACCAACACAGACCAAGAAATATGTGAACAAATGCTAGCAAAACTTATATCTACCACCAACACAGACCTAGAAATATGTGAAGGAATGCTAGCAAAACTTACATCTACCAACAACACAGACCTAGAAATATGTGAACGAATGCTAGCAAAACATATCTACCAACAAAACAGACCTAGAAATATGTGAACGAATGATAATAAAATATACTACCACAACACAGACCTAGAAATATGTGAACGAATGCTAGCATAACTTACATCTACCAACAACACATACCTAGAAATATGTGAACGAATGATAATAAAATATATCTACCACCAAACAGACCTAAGAAATATGTGAACGAATGCTAGCAAAACTTACATCTACCACCAACAACACAGACCTAGAAATATGTGAACAAATGCTAGTAAAACTTATCTACCAACAAAACAGACCTAGAAATATGTGAACGAATGATATAAATATATCTACCACCAACACAGACCTAGAAATATGTGAACGAATGCTAGCAAAACTTACATCTACCAACAACACAGACCTAGAAATATGTGAACGAATGATAATAAAATATATCTACCACCAACACAGACCTAGAAATATGTGAACAAATGCTAGCAAAACTTACATCTACCAACAACAAGACCTAAATATGTGAACAAATGCCTAGTAAAAACTTATCTACCACAAAACAGACGCTAGAAATATGTGAACGAATGCTAGCAAACTTACATCTACCAACAACACAGAGAAATATGTGAACAAATGCTAGTAAATACTTAATCTACCAACAACACAGACCTAGAAATATGTGAACGAATGATAATAAAATATATCTACCACCAACACAGACCTAGAAATATGTGAACGAATGCTAGCAAAACTTACATCTACCAACAACACAGACCTAGAAATATGTGAACCAAACTTACATGCTACAACAACCACAGACCTAGAAATATGTGAACAATGCTAGCAAAAACTTACATCTACCAACAACACAGACCTAGAAATATGTGAAACGAATGATAAAAATATATTACCACCACAACACAGACCTAAATATGTGAACGAATTTATATCTACCAACAACACAGACCTAGAAAATATGTGAACGAATGATAGTAAAACTTATATCTACCAACAACAGACCTAGAAATATGTGAAGGAATGCTAGCAAAAACTTACATCTACCAAACAACAACAGACCTAGAAATATGTGAACGAATGCTAGCAAAACATATCTACCAACAAAACAGACCTAGAAATATGTGAACGAATGATAGTAAAACTTATATCTACCAACAACACAACAGACAGAATATGTGAACGAATGATAATAAAATATATCTACCAACACAGACCTAGAAAATGTGAACGAATGATTATAAAATATATCTACACCAACACAGACTAGAAATATGTGAACGAATGCCAACAAAACTTATATCTACCAACAAACA